CCCTCCCCTCCCCTCCCCTCCCCTCCCTCCCCTGCCCCGCCTTGTTCACTGACACTGAGATCCCCAGCTCAAGTTCAGCAGCGCCGCCAAGGGCAAGGCAACAGAGCTAGGATGGGCCAACTCTGCGGAGGCGACGGGGCCGGAGGACGAGCCAGCAGGGGCCCAGCCCCAGCGGATCTTCATCAGCGAGCCAGTCACGGTTATGACCAACAGAGTAATGCCGCTGGTGCAGGAGGAACTCGAATGAAAGTGCGGGAGGGGATACGATTTATGGCGAAGAGGTTGGGCTGAGATGACAGGAATGAATGTGTGAACTTGAAGGAATGAATAAATATGTTGAAAACAGAATCTGACGAACAACAGTGAATAAATTCATGAATGAAATGGTATCTCTGATGAATGACATGTAGAATGAAATGAAAGAAGAGAAACAATGATATCTTGAAACGGATGAACATCGCAAGCTTGTCAACCTTTCAACCGGGACGTTCGATGGTCTGTGGAGGATCTCTATCTCTCCTCCAAACAACCTCTCAAGCATCCCCTCGACTCTCTTCGCCAACCCCTTGAGCTTGCAAGGCCTTGCTCTCTCTTACAACAGGATCGATCAACTCAGCTTGAGCACCTTCAACGGTCTCTCAAGCTTACCCGGTCTAGCGCTCGCCTCAAACAAGCTCTCTGACGTGGTTCCAGGAACATTCGACAGCCTCACTGTCCTCTCATCTGTGGATCTTTCATCCAAGGATTTGTCTGCAATCCTCCTCGACACCTTCGGCGGGCTGACTAGGTTGACAAATCTTGATCTGTCAGACAACAAGCTCTCTGTCCTCGTCGAAGGGACGTTCGCCGGTCTCCCGAGCTTGCAGACTCTCTATCTCTCCTTCAAACAACCTCTCAAGCATCCCCTCGCGTTTCGTTGCCAACCCCTCGAGCTTGCAAGGCCTTGATCTCTCTTACAATGTGATCGATCAACTGAGCTTGAGCACCTCCGTCAGTCTCTCGAGCTTGCAGTGTCTCTCTCTCTCCTCCAACTTTCTCACCGGCTCGTCAAACCAGCTTACCAGCCTTGCTTCAAGAGGCTTTGACAAGCTTCGGAGTCTTGCAGCTTTAACGATCAGCTCAAACTTGATCTCAACGCTGCTGGGAGACACGTTTGACGGGCTCTCGAGCCTGTTGTATCTCTATGTGGACGACAACCTGGAACTTTCACCGCATCCAACGGTCTATATCAGCTGGACCTCAGCAACAACAAGCTGACGACCGTTGAGATCGGAGCCTGCGATTCAATGATGGACAGTCTTTATGGACAGAGGTCGAAACTTAATGGAGTGATCTTGAACAACAACCATCTCACACATCTTTTACCAGAACTTTCAGTGCGTTGAGCTCACTCACAAATTAAAGAACAATCAGTTGACAAGCATTGACGCCATCCTTGACTCGCTTTCAAGTCTTTCTTCCCTCGCACTGGACAACAACAACCTGACCAATCTCTTTACCTCTGACCGCATCAATGTAAACTTTTCTTTCACTTGCTGGAAACCAGCTGACAAGTATCCCTGCGGGAACTTTCAACGCATCTACCTGGGCTCAAACAGCTTCACCGCACTGCCAACGAGATGCTTGTCCGGCCTCACCAACCTGTTGGGCCTCTACCTCAACAACAATCAGCTCAGCCCTAGTGTCTCAACTGGGAGCTTTGCGGAGCTTCAAAACCTGAACTATCTCAGTCTGTCTTACAACAAGCTAGAGACTTGGAACGTCAGGATATTTGGTGATGCTTCAACTTGACAGCCATCAGATGCTCGACATTCAAACTGGCGTGTTTGGAAATCTTTCAAGGTTGGAGTCCCTGAAGCTTCAGCACAACCAGCTAACGGACCTCTCATCCCAGACCTTCCAGGGGCTTTCCAGGTGTTGAACTGAGCTTCGACTACCTCTCAGAGATGCAGGCTGAGCTTCAACTACCTCTCAGAGATGCAGGCTGAGCTTCAACTACCCCTCAGAGGTGCAGGCTGACTTGTTTGCGGGCCTTTCAACGTTGAACATATTCCACCTTGCCGCAAACGACTAGCAGTCTCTGTCTCTGCGATCCTTGAGCGGTGTCATCCGGTTACAGTCGTGAAAACTCAGCTACAACTACCTCAGCAGCTCTCCTTCTGGGACCTTGGAAGGGAACCCAACCTCCCTGCTGCTCGACCTTCATGTCAAACATCCACAAGCTGAATCTCAGCTTCAACGACGTCTCCGCCATCTTCTCAGGCACGTTTGAGACCCCGTCAAGCCTTAGCTGCTGAACCTGAGCTACAACCGCCTCACCAGCCTCCCAGCTGAACTTTTCAAGGCCTCTCAGCTGCGATGAAAGCTCTCGATCTCTGGCTCGGCCCAGTCCAGCTCGACTCGATCGGACCGTTGTGGCCGCTGGCTCTACCAACCCGGTCGGTGCTCAATACTTGAACAGCGAAACGGGGCAGTGTGTTTCATGGCAGACACAAGGAGTGTCAACTGTTACATAACTGTATGCTCCTACCCCAGCACTTGCCCTTGCAAACGCGTACCTGGAATTTAGCTCTGCGATTATATCTTGCTCTGATTTCGGATTGCCACGGAATAGTCAATCGTATGATCATACGGCACTGGCACTGATCGGATAACGACTACTGCTCTTCTGACTTCTCACAACAGGGTGACTCATCTCTGTCTAGAGGCCGCGAGTGGAGGTCAACCCGGGCCGGGGCCGGGGCCCGGGCCCGGGGGGCCCGCCCGGCGGCTATGATAGTATGAACCGAGTCACTGAGGGGTTCAACAGTCCCTGAATGAGGGTTTATCGAATGCGTGATGGAAGGAAACATGGCGCAAGATGTTAGGTGAGCGAGAAGGAGCAAGAGGGAGGGAGGGAGGTAGAGGTAGAGGTAGAGGTAGAGGCAGAGGCAGAGGCAGAGGCAGAGGCAGAGGTAGAGACGCAGAGAAAGAGAGAGAAGGATTAGGAGGATCTGGATGTGGGTCTGGAGCTTGAACAGGCTCTTGATTCACGAGGAAGGGACCAGGACAGGGTTTATAGAAAGCAATGGAACAAGACGAGAAAGAAACAGAGGAGGATGAGGATGAGGAGGAGGAGGAGGAGGAGGAGGATGACGGAGTGGAACAGCGAACAGAGGAAGTGGGATGGGAGGGGGATGAAGCAAGGATCTGACATGCTTCGATGTAGAATCGAGGGCAACGTTATCATAGGGCATGGAACTTTCCTCCATCCTCGCTGCGAACTGCTGGCTTCAACAGGAGCAACCATCGTAGTTGGCGAGCACACGATCATAGAGGAGAGGGTGCGAGTACGGTAAAACATCCGCCTCCTCCCCCTCCCCTTCCCTCTCCCCTGCTCGTTCATGACCGCGAGCAGGTCCACGCATGGCGAGCTGACGATAGGATCTGAGTGCATCCTCGAAGTCGGCGCATCGATCACTGACAGCTGCATCGGAAACTTCTCTGCGGTGGAAACTATGGCGACGATAGAGAATTGCAAGGTGAAAATAGCATGGGAGAGGAAAAAGAGTAGGAAGAGGATTAATGATGAGCAGACAGGAGGAGGAGGAGGAGCAGGAGGAGGAAGTCATAGTGTTGAAGAGGGGAACAGTCAGAGCTGGAATAGGAACGGGAAGAGCAGGAGGAGATTGGCTGAGGGAGGGAGAAAAGGACATTGATGAAGCTGAATGACAGATCGGAGAGAACTGCTGTGTGGGAATGAAAGTTTTCCTTTCCGACAAGACACTAGACGGAGGAACATCAGTGCATGCGCCGAGGAACGTGGAGGTGTTACTACCACCACTACCTCCTCCTCCTGGACTCACCCTCCTCCACCCCCCCCCTGCTCCTACTTCTCAGCCTGCGATCTGTTGACTCTGCTTGCAAGGTACCTGGAAGGTCAGTAGAGACGCACCAGAGTCTCCTCTCCTCGCAGATCAGCCTCCTCCGCAGAAAGACGGTTGCCCTCCTGCCTGTCTTGAGCAAGCGATGACTCGTATGGCAGGGGCAAGAGCCGTCGGCAGAAGCTCGCTCATGACAGGAGCAGCAGCAAGACCGGAAGGACCCGGGGGAGTTGAGGTCATGAACAGCAAAGTGGAGGGAAACCGGGCGGAGATTCGAGAAGGGAGGGGAACATTCAGGGTACCATGGGAGAGCAGGTTATCAGAGCCCTTGTGAGTTGTCTTTACATGGTGACACTTTAACGGGTTGATTCACTTTCAACATGATATTGAGTTAGACTTTGTGAGTTGTCTTTACATGGTGACACTTTAACGGGTTGATTCACTTTCAACATGATATTGAGTTAGATGAAGAACAATAACGTGTCGGGACACCTCTAACCAAGCTCGAACAAATCCCAGAACTGCAGAGAGACAGGATCATAAGAAGCGGAGGAAATGAAGGGCAGCGGGAGGATGAAGGAGGAGGAAAAGGAGTAGGGAGAAGGACGAGGACGAGGACGAGGACGAGAAGGAGGGAGGAGGAAGAGGAGGAGGAGGAGGAGATGGTGGTGGTGGAGGAGGAGGAGGAGAGGGGAAGGAGAGGAGGAGCTTGCAAGTAAGTTGGTGGAGCGCGCAGGAGTCTCACCGAGTCAGGTTCTTGTCCCTCGGTTACAACATGAAGATCTTCGATGGTGATGCCGAGAGCCTGCACGATCGTCAGCTCGAGAGAGACACAAGGAGACATCGAAGAAGGACATACAAGAGAGACTTGAGGGAAACAGGAGACGTTAAGAGAGGAAAGACTGACGAGGAGGGGATATGAACACGAAGGAGCAGGAGACGGAGGAGGTAGAGGAGAGTCGAGTGGCAGGAGCAGAGGAGACACCTTGGTGAAGGTTTTGACAGACTTCCTTGCAAACTCATGACATTCCTCCTCATCATCGACATCCTGCGCATGGAGAATGAGCGGGCAAAACCCAAAGAGATTCTCCTCCTCACCTCAACCCCTTCGAACTCGCTGCCGATCCAGACGTACGCAGGCACTGCATCCTCCGATCGCTCTAGGAGAATGAAGGCCTAGTACCCCTTCAGAACCTCCTTCTCTCGCTCCCCTTCCCCTCTCGCTCCACTTCATCCTCCTCTCTCTCCCCTCCCCCTCTCTCCCCTCCCAACCTTGCTCGGCCACAAGTCATCGGAATCGAAGTTGTCGAGCTCATCCCACTGGTATCATCATGAATCACAAGGAAGAAACCAGGCATGCTATGAAGGAGTGAAGAAAGAGAGGGGAAGAAGGATGAAGGAGAGCGGCGGGAAAGACGATACCCATATGCAACGACTGCCAAAAACCAATGGACAAGCAGAGAACTTGGAGGGGAGGAGGAGGGAGAGAGGAGGAGGGAGAGAGGAGGAGGAAAGGAATGGACGTGAAATTCACCTTGCTGTGATCCTCTGCAATCTCAAACATCCGCATCATTTGACCATCCTGACTGTAGGGACTTGAAGGGGTCGGAGAAGTCTTGGTTTCTTCTACCGCCTCCTTCACGGGAGAAACTTGAGCAGTCGGCAGATTCAACGATAGCTGAAACATTCCGTCATGATATCTATCATCTACCTAACTCACATCCATTTCACCCATCCATCCATCCCTCTTTCCTTCATCTCCATCGGCATAGGCAACATTATCAAGTCCTCAATCACGATCATTCGAGCATCATTACAGTCCTCCCCCCTCTCCCACCTCCTCCTCATCCTCCTCCTCATCGTCATCTTCGTTCTCATCTCCTCACCTTCATGTTGAAGATGGGAGCATCCGACCTTCCGCCTCGTGGGGTTTGGACGGTGCAGCTTGCTCCTCCTTGAGGGAAACTCCTCTTGTTGGACACGTCCCCGGAGTCGGACGTGGACGGACTTGACGTCTCCTGCACTGCTGGCTCCTTCAACTGCGGATCTCGCGTTGATGACAGGGGAACAATGGTCTTCTCGGTCTTGTCAGAAGATCGACTGTACTCCTTCGCCTCTCCCCCTCCTGGCAGCAAGCATCGCAACTTCCTCAGCTGCGCCACATGCCGCTCAGCTTCCTCCCCCTGCTTCACCTCCTCGCTCCCCGATGGCGATCCTTCATACCTCTGAAAATTCTGTACAGCCTCCTTTGCAGCTTGAACGTGCGCGTTCGTTGATGACTTTCCAATCCAAATCAGGATGTCCAATGGACCATCGACGATGTAGACACAGTCCGGAGATAGCTCCACGTCCTCGTTCCCCTTGTTCTCTATCAACATCGCAGAAATCCCAGCCTCCTTCACGCTGGGATAATAAAAATCCACTTTGAACAGGCGAGGAGCGGCATCGGCAACTGACTCTGGGCTCCAAGCGTGTACATCGAGAATTCTCTTACTCCATCGCACCAGTTGGCTGCAAAATCCTGCGTTTGGGTTGCAGATGCCTCTTTTCAATTTCAGTCGCTGAAAAGCCTCATCGTAAGAGACTTTCTCTTTCAACATGGTGTAAGCAATACAAATTGAACAGGATCTCGACACCCCTTGAGTGCAATGAACCAAAATTTTCTTTCCTGCCTTACGAGCCTTGTCGATGAAGTGAACAGCATCGTAGATGTGACAGGAGATGTCCTCAGATGGCGCATCGTTGATGTAAATAGACATGTAAGTAAAAGAGTCCGGGAAAAAGTTCTCAGAAGTGATTCTGCTGCAGTTGATGATGTGGGAGATACCAACTCCTTTCAAGAGCTCCAAGTTCTGGGCCACGTGAAGTCCTCCAACATACAGGTAGTCTGTGATGCGGGTACACTCCTTCTCGTACTTGTCTAGCTTCTCCTTCCTCAGCTGCCTCTCAGTGGGTTCCCTAGGAATCTCTTGTGCTTTCGATATGTCCAGTTTGAGTTTCGTTTCCATCGATGGTAGGCCAAGTCTGTAAAGAGACATCATGAAAGTCTGTCACAAACCGGGCATAATCAGATGGATACCTTGGATGAGCTGCTGGCTCTGGTTTCTTCGCAGGCACATCTTTCTCGTGCTTGTTTGCGACTGAAGACAGGATGAATAACAAATCGACAGTCAACATCACAGTGCTCACAGTCTTTGTCATCCACAACAGGTTTGACGTTTCCGAGATTCAGTTTGAACCCTTTCGGGATCTCATTAACGTTAGGATCAGGAGTCTGCAATCAGCCTCTCAGAGTTTCAAACAATCAGGATCAAACCGACCTCGTCATCTAGAGTTCGTTTTCGCCCCTTCTCTGGTCCTTCTGACTTGTTCTTCCGTTTGTCTCTATAGCCGAGGGTTACATCGACAGCGAGTTTGATCGGGTGGCAGCGAGGAAGGGGAGACTTGAAAGGCGGGATGGTAGCAAGGAGAGCAACGAGGGGGGAAGTAGGGGGATGGAGACGGAGAGGAGGGGCGGGAAGGTAAGAGAGGAGAGGGGAGGTATGAGAGGAGAGGGGAGTTAAGAGAGGAGAGGGACGTCGAGTCTAAAACTAGGGCGCGAGGGTGAGGCAGACGGCAAAGAAGGAAGGGCTGCGTCGATGTTGATGATGTTCTATTCACCTTTTCTTGGCTGATCCGCGCTTCGAATTCAGTTTCCTCGGTATTCTGATATCCTCCACAGACACACTGAGGAGGGAGTAGGGACCGTCGGGGAATTCATCGTAGTTGGAATACCCTCCAGCACCCTTGGACCAATCACAGCCCATGTCTAAGAATCAGATTTCTGTGACAAACACAACATTGAGCACCAGGAAAGAATAGCAGGCATCAACTTACCTCTTCTGCGATGCAAGCAACTACCAAACCTCATTGTCAAAGCTCAATCCCGCGATGTATTCCTAACTCGTGGCATTGCGCCAGACTGTGAAGCATTTGTCAATCTTTGCACATTATAGACATCAACATGTCAAGAAACGATGGGAAGGAGAATCTTATTGCAACTCTGTGTTGTGTTGCACCTGTTTCACTAGTCTCCCCGGCCAACAAATGCCGTTTTAAGTTCAAGACATATCAACAATACATAAGAGAAAACAAACAAAACATTTCGATTTGATAATTATCTTGATGATCAGAACCTGATCACAACATTCTGATAACAACAAGACCCTTCTCTGTCTACCTCTCCGTGCCCGCATCCCACGATCCTCTCATCACAGAAATCTAACTATCACTGACAAAAATCACCACGAGACCCTGAAGAAACGAATAGAAAAACATCGTGAAACCTTTGTGCATCTATGAATGCTATCTGTTCTACTTGATTGCCAATCGACTTTTGCACTTTTTTGCCATACTTGATCCGACATGACATTCAGGCTGATGCCGTTTCCTATGCTTGCTTCGTGACTCGTCTTTCTCCATCTCCATGGTTCGCATCCCGTTCCACACTAGATCTTTCATCTCTTGTTCATCCCTCCCTCATCCCCTCCTCCTCTTCTGCCCCTTCCTCCGCCTGCTTTCATCGTCCCCACTTCCGCCTGCACACCATACCGATCGCCCCCTACCCTACCCCACCATACCCTACCCTACATTGCACTACCGTACCTGGCCTGTTCAGATTTCGGCAACTGACCCCCCACCCCTTCGTTCCCTAACGAACCTATACCCCCACCACGGAATTTCCACGAGTGCTCATGACCCCTACCCCCTTGTGACTGCTAAAGAGTACCCTCTGCCCCAATGGTTGTGAGTTCTTCCCCAAAACACCCTTGATTTGCATTGTACCCCACCCTCCCGACTCTGCTGTGGTACCGATCATCAGAGGAAGAGGACCCGTGTGTTTCTAACCCACCCTACCCATGGGATGGCAGGGCTATCACCCCTACCCCCCATGAAGTCCAGGGCCCCGAGCAACAACGGGACTTTTTCGCAGCAATACAGAAGTCCAATACTGAAAATTCATCTCAATATTTCAAAAGTGAGTTGATGATTCAACGAAGGCAAATGAAAAATATCAAGTTTTCCGTGGAAATTTTGAACCGGGTCCCGGCCTCTAAAAGGTATATAGTAGGTTTATGGTACCGGGTGTTTTAACTTTCCGATACCACATTTGAGCTGTTGGGGAATTTTGTACGTGGTACCTGTTTATAAAACTATATAAAAACTGAGAAACGTAGCAATGAATTCATATTCCAGGTAGTGTAGTTTGTACCGAATATCATCAAAATACAATTTTAAAATTTGCAAAGTGGATTGGGATCCTGCATGTTGGGAGGAGGAGCGAAGACAGAGTAGGAGGAGTATGCTTGCAAGGAGGAGAAGAGAGGAGGATCGTCAGGATGAGGGAGGGAGAAAGCGTGATGTAACCCCGCTAGAAAAAGGGAGGGAGGATGGAGCACGATCGATGAGCAAAGAGTTGGAAAGTAAAGACAAGACTACGAAAGTACAGCAAAACAACCAACGTAGAAGAATGGAGTTAAGGGAAGAGGATAAGCTGGAGGAAAGCGAGCAGAACTAGGAGCAGAGGACAAGTGCGATCAGTGATTATTCCGAATAGAGCAGCGTGCATAAGTATGTACATGTCGTTTTGGGAGTTAACGAAAGTAACTTTGCCTTCACCTCGCTTCGGATTCATGTTGGTAGAACTTCGGATGGCACTGGTGGAAGTTGGCTAGGCATAATCTGGCAGCGCCTTGATAGGAAGGACCAAGAGTTTCGAGGTAGTGCCAGTCGAGGTCGCAGGTGAAGGCAAAGTTACTTTCGTTGACACAATGGCGGAAGAGAGTGCCAGGAGGACGGAGTCCTGCCGTGTGGTCGACAATTTTGTGTTCATCTGTGAAAACATTTATCATGCCACAAGTTTATGTTGAGAATGGAGCATCCGATCTTCCACCTCGTGGGGTTTGGACGGAACAGCTCGCTCCTTCTTGAGGGACACTCCTCTTGTAGGACGCGTCCCCGGAGTCGAACGTGAACGATTTTGCACAAGTGTGGTTGTTTCCTATGTCGACAGGAGAGATGCGGTCATATCAGAATGGTAAATCAAGGAGGGAAGCAAGAGGAACGAGTAGGAGCAGGTGGGTGGGTGGGTGGGTTGGCGGGTAGATGAATGGGTTGCATGTCAAAGTTGCTCAATTTGAGGACGGCATTTTGTGTTCTTGAATCTGTCAAAAGGTGTATCATGCAAAAGTGAGGGGGTGGAAAGAAGAAGGTAAATCAGATGTCGATCACGAAGAAAGTGATTCAATCATTCAACATGATTATTCGTACTGCGCACAAGAAAAATTTTAACTATCTTTACACGCTTGACATTTCCAATGAAAATCAAGCACAAAATTTCTACCCAATTTCTGGATATTGTATCATTGCAAAATTACTAGAAAACAAGAATGCAAAGTCAGTTCAGTCATTTCAAACTGATAGCCACTTATTTTCGTTAAATCCATCACACTGATTCCAGTTGAATTTGCTTCATGTGAAGGTGTTGGCTCCCGAATTACATACCGTCTACCCTCCTTGTGATTCTTCCTTTCCTCCCCCTTGTGCCCTCCTTCCTTCCCTCAGATTGTAAGCTATTCTCATAATCCTTCCATTCAGTGAACTTCGTTTCAAGAATCCTCACCCGAGCAGCGCTGACGTTGTCCTTTTTGGCAGCGCTCGTGACCAGACAAGAACAAATCTGAAGGAAATTGCAGAGCATCGTCGTCACTACTCGCACCTCTGATCGCGGAAGATCCGATAGTTCTTGTGCCCCTTCTCCACTCTCAGGTCCATGAAGCTCTTGAGGACGAGCTGGAGCTCGCAGCGGTACCCAGCCACGCAGAATCTCTTGGTGTCATCGTTGGAGATGCGGATGTTCAGGCAGATGTCTCGGTATCCCACAGACGCCAAGGCGTTGTAACTCTGCACGAGCCTGTTCTTGACCCTCATGATTTCAATATGCGGGTCCTCCAGGATGATATCGATCGCTCTCGACAGCTCCCGTATGTCCTCGAACACCAGCGCATAGCGAACTATGTCCACCAGCCGCGACACGTCACCGTTGTAGGACCGGATCACCTTCTGTATCGCCCGGTTCACGTTCTTCAGGATCGGCGGCTTCACGGCGAGTACCCCACCCCCGCCCTCATAGGCGCTGGCCCACGTGATGTACCGCTCCGCCCTCCTCGACCTGTCGCTGACAGGGAACAAGCAGTTACACTGAGACCCGATCTCCTGTAGCTTCTTGAAGAAGATAGGCTGCACCATCAGTGCTTGCGCGTAAAGCTGCTCGAGGGAAGAGATTCGCAGGTGGGATGACAGCGGGTTCAGATGCCTCATGATGTCTGTCAGCGAGCCCAGCCTTGAGCTGCTACCCTGCTCGTGCTGCCACTCATCTTCCACCTGCACATGCAGAGTCCTCTCCATCCAGAGCAGAAATCTCTTGAGCGCTGGCCCTGGGCACAGGAACACGTGCTGGAGGGCAGACGAGGACTGGTGGTTGTGGGCGATCTTGGCAAACTTCACACGAAGCGCAGAGACTGTCTCCTCATCCTCCGCCACCTTCTTCCAGAGCTCCTCGTACTCCACCAAGTCCTTCTCGACCTTCTTGTAGGACTTGTACAGCAGGTGTTTCCTCCACAGCCACAGGAACAACCAGACGGAGAAGAGGACGACGTGGTTGAGTCGGATCGTGCTGGAGTCTATGATGACCTCCCGTGCTCTCAAGTCAGTGAAGAGGGTATTGAAGAATGAACCACTCAGCGCAAAGATAGGAAGACAAGTCAGCGCGTACTCCTCCTTGAACTGCATCACGAGCCCGTACCCCAACTCGATCACCACCCAGCTAAGACTGTGCAGGAACTCCAGCACAGTAAAGGGGGTGAACATAAGGTTCAACAGGTCAAAGATCCCAGGGCCAAAGAATGCGCAGGCGCAGACCGTTTTACCCCAGTACGTCCTTCCCATGTTGACGAAGATGGCGGTGCCGAAGCAGGCGAGGAAGCGGAGGCCGATGTTCACGAGCTCGAAGGCGCACTGCCAGGCCATCCGCAGGTCCACGAAGTAGCGAACGTCCCTCGTGCGGGAGATGTTGGCCTCCTCTGAGTGACACAGAGCAGTAGCACGGTTCATGCTGCAGTCAAATCTTGTCCTCAGCTCCCACTGCGTCTCGTTGGCGCGAATGGGATCATTCACTCCTTCGTCCTCCCCCAGCACGTGCAAGTCGAAGGCAAGGGGATCGCTGTAGTAGGAGGAGACGTCGGGATTGGTGTAGAACTCCCAGCCATGTGCAGAGACAGGACGGGAGAACGAGTAGAACTGCTGAGACCCGTTCCTACCTACGAACGAAGGAGAGAACTTTTTGCAGTCTCGGAGGAAGCTCACCTTCTGGATGGGAACCACTGAGGGGTCGGCGAGCGAGGGATCTCTCTGCCGGATTATCGTGACGCGAGCATGCGCGACAGAGAAGAGGGTCCGGGTCCTCATCTCCCGCACGGGGTAGTAGTCGTCGATGGCGTAGTTGACCACAAGCATGAAGCCGATGAACACCAGGCAGAGCTGAAAGAGGGGCTTGTGGATCACGTTGGTAAGAGGACGCGAGGAGAAGATGACACTCGCCGTCTTCGAGTCGTGCACGCCCGCATCCGCTGACTTCACCATATGGTCCAAGAAGCCTCCCGGCAAGATGCTCTTCAAGTTGAGCACTGGGCACAGGGGTGGAGGGGGGGGAGAGAGAGAGGGAGGAGAGGGAGGAGAGAGAGGAGAGGGAGGAGAGGAAGAAGAGGTAGGGGAGAACGAGGCCAGCAACGAGCTTTGGTTCACTGCACAACGTTCGATGGCGGCAGGATGCACGGCAAACGAGAAAGTTCGGAGGAATTGCTTCCAATGAAGGTTGACGAGCAGCAAAGTTCTCCGGCTCCCTCTCTTGACTTTGTTGGTTTTTCGCAACACCATCTTCCTCCGCAGGTATTGTGTGTGCTTGCCAAGTACGATGATGGAGTGCAGAGAGATAAGGGAAAGTCGAACCTCGCAGACGTGCCCCAGCACGTTGTTGTGCATTGCCACACTGTTGACAAACGACACAATGAGAGTAATATCGCGATAACCGCTGTGTCCGTTGCTGAGACGGTCTCGAACATGCATCACCCTCACCTCCGGGTCCTCTAGCCAGTGCTTCAGCGCCACGTTCAAGTCATGCAGGTTGTCAAACAGCATGTTCTGCCGAACGACGTCGGTGATCCGACAAACTTCACCCTGCAAGTGAATCAAGACTTTCTCCACCGCACGATCAACTCGCTTCAAGCTCGCGTCGTAAATGCTCGCGAACATGTCAGGGGATTGACCTAATTCTTTGTAGAGAATGTACTGTTTTGATCCATCTCTCTCGTCCATGCAACAACAATATCCCTTGCTCACACCTCCGATAGCAATCAGCTTACGGAAAAACATGGGAAGTACTAAGACAGATCGGACATAAAGCTGATCGAGATCTGCGACAGGAAATGTCGGCATAGATCCGGCAAAGAAGGAAGAATTGGACAGAGAGAATGACGACTCCATCGAGAACGCAGAAGACCTGTAGCTGCCCGACACTTTCAGGTGAGAGGAGTCTGTTGCGATCATGTCCGAGGTCGGGCGGTCAGGCATCACAAAGGTATGTATCGCATCTTGCGAGTTGAGCCCAGGACAAGACAACATAAAGTTTTGCAAGATCTGCTCTGTCGTTCCTAGGTCTGCCTGAACGAATGAACTTTGAGTGATCGAGCGCCATGCTTCATCGAAAGCGTTTGTGTCTTTCTTCGCTTCAATACGCACAGCGATCATGATGGCGTATTTGGTCACCAAGATAGCAGAAAACAGCCCAATCGCTGTCAGTAACTCAACTGCAAAAGTGCCACCTGCCCCAAGCGAGATGGATAGAATGACAAGAGAAGAAAGCATCAACTCCAAGGTGAGAGATTCTTTGAAGACAGTCGGACACGGGAAGACCAAAAATGACTGAAAAAGGAATCAGAACAAGTGAAGGCCATTCATGGAAACACTCACCACAAGGCTTGAAACCAAACAGTGATAACTCGCTGGTTTGACAAAATTCTCATCATTTCCAAGAAAAAGAATCATATGCCCGATCCCAGCAATCAGTCCACCCAGGCAAATCACCTGAAATGAGTTCAAAATGCGTCAAAAAAGTAAGCCCGCTTTGCATTTGCCTACCGCTTTCGGGGTTTTTGTCTTCTCAAAGAAGCCGAAGATGGAGGCAAGAATGTAAGAAACTCCGTGTGCAACGTCAATCACAAACAGGAGATTGGTCTTCCAGCTGCAGCTGGCTAGACTGAAATCTATCGCAGTGGGTTGTCGTTGATAATCCGTTTGCACTACAAACGTTTCCACCTTGACTATCCGGTGCTCATGATAACGGTAAGTCAACGAATTTAGGTAGGTCCTGGTGACCAGATACCAACCGACGGTGAAGGAGATGAATTGTATTCCTCGAATGGCGTACAGTGCCTTTATACTCTCTTCATGAAACAGGGCAGAGACAAAGCCATCGCGGTACAGGGCCTGCATCCTGAGTTTCGATTGCAAATAGTTTCCTGGCTTGATCATGTACAGCAGAGTGAAATTTTCCTTCAGCTGTCTGTCAAGGGCCTGCATGGAGACTTGGTAATCTGTTGGATCCATCGTTCTCAAACTGTGCAGGTTCGTTTCTTCGCTCTTGCTCATTGTTGTACGACGGCGATATGTGGCAAGAGTTTGAATGCTATCCTGGCATATTTCACCTGCCTTTTTAAATGTGAAGGCTAATTTACTCAAGCACGCACGTTCCTGTTCAAGCTCCGTCAGATATCGAACAAAAGTGCGTAATGCAGGTATTTCTTGCTAAGACCCGATCGTCATGATGTTTCTGCTGGTTCATCTATGCTTCTGAGCCATCATCCTAGCCTTCATGATATGCTGCTGCCTTCGCCATGCCGCACTTCAATATATGCTGCTGCCTTCGCCATGCCGCAGGTTCGATGTCCCTCTGCTCTAACGCTTCCACCCTCTCACTCCGTCTGTCTCCCTAGTCGTTCACGATTAATTTCTATCTAACTTCAAATGTGAAATCTTGGGTACTGTATATTCCAAATTTTATAGTACAGATTTGGAGCATTTGGCAACAAGATCATTTACGACTTCTCGTGTACCCCACCCATCATGCAACTGTGCCCCTCAATTTCCCGGACAAACCACCCCCTCATTACCCTTCAAATACCCGGTTATTTACCCCATCCAAGAACCGTTCCAAACTACCCCACCCTCAAGGCAAGTAACATCAAATTGAGTGATTTTACTGGGTAGTAAAGGGTAGTCGGTAGTACTAAACTGAGCAAAAAAGAAAACCTGGTACTACTGTACCCATCAAAAGTAACTTTTAACATCATGCGGTAGCTCGTACTGATTTTAACTTAACTTTGAGTAAAGAGAAGGGAACTACGGGTACAAACCGTGAACACTGAGTCGGAGAACTTCCGAGGCTTCGGAGGCTTCAGCCGCCCGGCGAGACCCGGAGGCTGAGGAGAAAGCGCCGGGCCCGGGCTGAGGAAGACTGAGGAGGAGGAGGAGGATGAACTTTACGGATAATCGGATATATCGATCAGTTACCGTCCGAGTCACGTCGAGTCCGTCGACTGAGCCTGCCAGTGCCAGGACTACACGCCGGTTACTCCGCGGCAGCGAGTCGACTTGCCGGGCCGGGCCCGCCCGGCCGACCGCCGGCCACACTACACCGGCCCTGTTGGGTAAAAACTTCGGTACTGCCAGACTGACTTCAACCGTTTGAACTACTGACCCCACCCCACCCCTCGATTGTCCCACTCTAGACCTTCCGGTCACCGGTGGAGGTGACAATGACTTTTTTTTTCCTGTCCCACCCATGGCTCAACGATAGCAGGTATGCAGGATATAAGTAGCGCTGGAGGAGGAGGAGGAGGAGAAGGAAGAGGAGGAGGAGGAGGAGGAGGAGGAGCTCATGATGTTGACTGGCTGCTCCTCCACCAGCGGTCTAGTCCCTTCTAGCTCCTCCTTTGCTCTGGCCGGCCATGAGCTGGAACCCGACGCAAGGTATTCGGTAGGAACTTCGTTGTTCGGTACTGGACAAGGGGGCTGAAACTTGATGAGCAGCAAGACAGGAGGATCAAGATTCTCCGTCCCAAGGATCCAACGAGATGCAGGGAAAGTCACAACTCCTCCCACTCCGGAGCTGTCAGGTGCGAAGTCGAACCTTCTGCATGAGGATATTGACTGTGATCCAAAGCGTGGAAGACGAGCCCCAAGCATGCGGTCAGGAGAGTGTGGTGCGTTCAAGAAGATCTGATGGGGTTGAGGTAGGACGGAGCAGCCAGGCTGGGAGACACTAGGGTCCTCAAGATTGTCACTCCCACGAGCGAGCTCGTCGAGGTCAGCGATGTGGCATGAACTCTTGCCTAGAAGTGCTCTGAGGATTTTTTTCAGGTGGTTCAGAGAGAAGAGTCTCGTGAGAATGTCAGGACAGTCTGTGCTTCCATGAGCACCCAGACAGAAGAAGACGACGTTCCGTCCTTGCGCGAGCAGGAGGAGCGTCATCCAATCCTCTATGATACATACGTGGAGGAAACACCGGACATGCATGGGGACAGTAATCAGATGCCTGCATCAAGATCAGATCCGACTACTCACAAGGCTTCAGTGGATTGGCACGAGACTACTAGAGGCGATGATTTGGACAGAGCTGATGAAGAGAAGGGAGCAAACGTGAAACGCCCGTCATACAAGGAGGAGGAGGATGAACTCAAGGCAATGCTTGCGGACTACCTCTCAGCAGAAGGTCAAGACGGGGCGGGAGAGATTGAACTCGAGAGGATTGAGGACGAAACGAGACCCACCACCTCTCATCGTGATCAAGGTTGAAACCCCTAGGACGAGCAGCAGGCTGACCTTGCGCACGATGAGCAGATGTGGCTACTTCGGAGCGGCGACGAAGAAAGCTGTGAGGGAGATTGAGGTTAGCCTTAAGGCTGGGAAACTGACGTCGAGATCAGAGCTCGGATGGAAGAGAAGGGGACGAAGCAGGGAGCTTCCCCCCGAGAGCTTCAACTTGTGCCGTTAGCCTGACATTCTCCTCTTGTCTCTCGTTCTGAGTTTCCTTTCAGTTTCACCTATCCTTCCCTGGTCGGCCAGTACGACCCGGCAAGCGACTCAGTGGTCATCGGGCTCGACGTTGGGACACAGGTGATGTCGATGAGTAAGAAGGGACGAAGACAAATAGGAGCAGATTGAGGAGGGGGGAGAGGAGCAGGAGGGTTTAGGAGCAAGAGCAGGAGCAGAATGGGGAGGAGCAGTAGGAGGAAGGAGGGTTTAGGAGCAAGAGCAGGAGCAGAATGGGGAGGAGCAGGAGGAGCAGGAGGAGCCGACAAAATTTCATGCACAGATTTCTCTCGTCTGGGCTGAAACCTTTCGGCGCATCAAAGTTCTGGTTGATCGATCTGAAACTTTGAGAGCCCCAAGCTTGACGTCTTTTTTTCTTGATACCGCAGAGCTCGAAAGGAGGATTCGTGACTCTGCTGTCAGAAGGTGACCAAGTCCATGGAGGGAGGGAGGGAGGGAGGGAGAGAGGAAGAGAGGGAGGGAGGGAGAGAGGGAGGGAGGGAGGGAGGGAGGAGGCAAATTCAAGGAGGAGGAAAGAAAGATACGGGGGACTGGAGGCGAAGAAGAAGGGAGAGATGGGGCAAGTGGAGGCGGAAGCAGTGAAGAGGATGTGGAAATATTTCATTATGTTGAACAGAAAGGAGTATGAGCGAAGATTCCGATCAATCGCCTTCTATGGTCATCCCAATCACTGTCTGGCTGGTGAGGAGAGTGAGGCAAAGGAGGAGGGCAACTAGTACTGTGACTGCTGCTACTGTGATGATTATGATGTTGATCATGGTCATGGTGGTGGTGATGGTGGTGGTGATAATGACGACAACGATGACGACGACGATCATGATAATGATCATGATGGTGGTGGTGGTGGTGGTGGTGGTGGTGGTGGTGATGATGATGATGATGATTGCTGCATGGTATACTTATGTGGTCACTCAGGGAGTCCTTGATCTGCGCGATCGATTCACACGTGCTTTCGAGCGAGAGTTGGTAAGAAAAATATTTCCCCTCCTCCATCCCTCCTTCCTTCTCCCTTTCTCCCTCCCTCCCTCCCTCCCTTCCTTCCTCCCTCACTCACTCACTCACTCACTCACTCACTCACTCACTCACTTTCCTTCCCTGCTGCTGACTCATCACTCAGAATCTCTACTCTGAGAGCCGAGGATACTGTAGCAGGTTGAAGAGACAGTCTCATAGTGCGCGAAAGGTCTTCGAGGATGCTGGGGAGCTGGTCTGACCCACGGGAGCAGGAGAGAGAGCGGGAGCAGATGCAGAGCAGGGGGAGAACAGCAGCCAGTCAACGCGTTGCCATGGAAGTGAACGCAATCAAGACTGCTGCGAGCGTTGACGTGGAGGGCGAGGGCACAAGGAGAGAAGGAGAGGGGGGAGGCAGGAGGGAGCAGAAGGTGAGGGAGGAGGGAGGTCGGGATGGGGCAGATGACTTGTGGGTCCAGGAGACAGGCAGGACGGCAACGGTAGAGACGCGAGACGTGGGGACACAGTGGAGCGAGCAGGGGTCGGAGACGAACGAACGAGCCTTGATCTTGGTGAGGGATGACATTTTTTTTATGCTTGACAAGCTTGTTGACTGGGCATCGTCTCCAGTCGCTGCCCGTCTCGCGGCGAGCAGCTGGGGACTTGTACCGGCTGATTGAGGAGTCGAGGGAGGAGGTGGAGGCGGAGGAGTTGAGACGCAAGAACGAAACCCCGAGATTCACTTCCTCCCGAGCCACCCAGCCAGCCCAAGAAAGTAAGACATGGATGTCGAATGATGTTGAGGAGGAGGAGGAGGAGGAGGAGGGAAGGGGGGGGGTGAAGGAGAGAGAGGAGGAGGGAGGGAGGGAGGGAGGGGAGGGAGGGAGGGGAAGGGGAGGGGAGGGGAGGGGAGGG